GTCACACACTCCCAGGGGTTAACCGCCCCCTGAAACAGTCTCTCTCTGAATCTTCAGCACGCCTGGTCCTCGTCAATCCCCCTTCGTTTTACCGCTCCCCAGTCACTTACTGCAGGAAGCACCATCCACGGGGTGCAGTACATCCCACCTCTGCCACCAGTTGTCACGGAGTCCCTGGGCGATGCTCTGGAACTGCTCCCCATGAAGCCAGTCAGGACTCTGGGGTAGTCGCCTTTCTGTGAGCAGCCTGTCTTCAGGACACAAAGCTCACACAGCTTCCACCTTCCTGGGTCTGACCTCGGAGCATTCAGCATCCTCTGCCCCTCCGTGCACTTCCCCCAGCGAGTCCGCTCAGGCGGGGCTCCTAGGGAAGCCAGAGGGTCCTGCCCCCCAACTCCGCAGTCAGACGTGACTCTCAGCCAGCCAGTAAAACAGAAGGTTTATTAGACGACAGGAACATGGTCTAACACAGAGCTTGTAGGTGCAGAGAACGGGACCCCTCAGCTGGGTCCATTTTGGGGGGCAGTGAGCCAGACAACCCCGTCTGCCCTTCACTCCATGTCCCAGCCAGCCCCAAACTCACTCCCTCCAGCCCCTCCTCCTCCTCCTCTGGGCTTTGCTCCTTTCTTGGGCTAGGAGGTCACCTGATTCCTTTGTTCTCCAACCCTTTAGCTCTCACCTTGCAGGGGGGAAGGGCCAGGCCCTCAGTTGCCAGGAAACAGGGTGTCGGCCATTCTCTGTGTCCAGACCCCTGCACACACCTGCCCTCTAGGGCTCTGCAGTGATCACACACTCTTATCCCACCCCCTAGATACTTAAGAACTGCCTAGGGGAAACTGAGGCACCCCCACACTATGCAGAGGAACCATTAAGAACCGTCCCACTTTGTTACAATTGTGACTAAGCATCTAACCATCCTGGAATGCATCTGATCCCTATGGCGTTTGGGCTTCCCCCTGGCTCTGGGGAACGGCCAGGCAGCTGCAGCAGTTAGAGGTGGAAGAGAGCCACTAAATACGAAACCCCCACCAGCCGATGCAGCACGGTTCCAGAAAGGGACACTTTCTAGAGCTTCCGCTTGTGAACATTTCACAGGATAGGGCTCTGTTGCAGTAATGGCTGGAAAAATGGTACCAGATGTTTAGCGCTTCTTGTCTCAGCAGGTAACATGAGTGGGGAAATCACCCACATTAGCTGAAAACCCTAAAGAGCCCTGGGAGTAGGGCAGACTCTCCCAAGGGTGGGGTCAGGACTAGCTCACCATGGAACAAGTCATGGCTCAGCCCCCAAGGCCAGTAGATCCCCTTACTCAATAGCCTCATAGCTCTGCATAGCACCTGTCTGCATGGAGTCTAATGCTAGCACCACCTGTCCCATGTCTCAAGGGCTTCCCTTGAGGGCACGGACTAGCGGCCCCATCACGGAGCCCCTGGGCACAGGGGGCTCTGCAAACCAGCTATGCCAGATCTTGACCAGTTGAAGGGTGCTCTGCAAAGAGTCAGAAACAAGGACCAGGGGGCTGAGTAACTACAAGAGCTCCACACACACAGCTTGGGTGAACAAGGAACATGCTGCCGTCTCCAGCACCGAAGGTATAAACACCTAGGAGACGCACTGCTCAGGGTGGAACGAGGACTCGTAAGGGGAATAGCATGATGCAATTAAGCTGAATATTTGGAAATGTCCCAACAGTGAAAGCTCTTAGGGTGAGGAATAATCTCCATTGGGGAGTGGCTCCTGCAACACTAAACTGGGTGCACTGAAGTAATAAGGAGGAGCTCTGTCTTGCCTCTGCCCCTTGCAGGTCTGATTTATTATTTAGACTCACAAGAGCTTTAATAAAATGCCCAGCCAATAAACAGCCCTGTGCATTCCTCCGAGTAACTCAAATACCCAGTGATGACCACACCCAAACTGAGACCAGTCAAACCCGTTCACCTGATCGGCAGAGCCCCACGCCGCCACCACGCACCTTCAGGGAGACGTTGTGGAGAAAGCCTCCTTACTGCCGGGCAGCGCTTCATGCCCCATGCCCATCTCTGCGTGCTGGCCGGCCTGTCTGCATGCAGTCGCCTGGCTCCTTGCTAGAAACTCCGCTGCTGGGCACCCCTGTCCCTTGCTGCTTTTTAGCCTGGGAGTGGGGAGGTCTGGCACCTGGTGGAAAGGGGGCATCTCCAACCCATCTGCCATGCCTCCTCCCAGCCATCCAGCCTCGCCTTTCTCATGGCACAGTTCCCCCGGCTGGCTTTCCCCCCGAACCCAGGAAATAGACCAGGCCCCAGCTGACCTCCCACTGAGAATTCACTAGTTTTTAAATGGTAACAATCACACTGGATGAGCCCCCAGCTAAGGTACCGTAGGGAACAATCCTGTCTGCCTAGCAGGGGGACACCCTTACCCAGCAGGGCTCAGGACAGGCAGTGCCAGAGGATGCTGTATCCAACCCAAAGCACCCAGACACGTCACTAGGCAGAATACAATGACCTTCGCTGGCATTTTGCCAAGGTATGATGGTTAACGAGTCTATTCTTACAGACAGTGTCATGGGATCCTTAATGACAGCAGGTAGCTTACTGCTCCATTTCCCGTCTTGCCCATGCTGCACCACGGAGCAGAAGGAAAAGTTCTGCCTGCTGAATAACCACAGACCCCTCCCTGTCACACTGAGCCCCTCCAACCTGCTCAGCCAGTGAGGGCGTGCTGGCTCACAGCCCACATGGCATGGCTGCAGCCCCTGTAAATGCTGCTTCCACAGCAAGGTCTGGGCAGAAAGGGCTGGCATTCGGGACAACTTATTTTACCAGCGTGTATGAAACCTCGCTGGCTGGGAAGCTCCCACTGGCAGAGGAATGAGCTGGGTGCAGCTCCTAGGGACATGACATTACTGTGGGACAGGTGCAGATGTCTGCACGGCAGATGCTACTTTGGGATTGTACATGTCCAGTTTTCAGTGGGAACCCCGCATTGAATCCTAGCGAGTGACAACTCAAATGGAAGGCTATTGGCAGCAGTGAAATCCCTGAGAAGCCAGGGCTCTGCACATGGACCAGGCCGGGGTGCAATGGAGCACTTCACAGATCTCTCACTTGTCGGTTCAAACGGACACAACCTCCTCCATCAGCAATGAATGCTGTGTCACTGAGGACCACCCGCTGTGCTGGGGTGGGGGTGAGGTCTAGGATTAAGGCTAGTCTGTGGCGCTGACATTGCTGTGGAGTTTAGAGTGTGCTGCTGAGCAGCCTGGTCCCACGGGGGACTCTGCCCATGGAATGAACAACCCTCAAGAGTGCAAGAAAGAGTGGACTGGAAGGTACGAGAGACATGGGCTATTATAAAACACGCGTGTGCACCGTGCAGTCAATTCGCACACAGAGATAAGCCCAGACTCCTGCCCTAGAGGGTTCACACTCTGAGTTAGAAGACACAGACAAGCCCATGGCAAGGCATGGAGCAGCAGTTCAGGAAACGGAGGGCTGTGGGAGTTACCAGTTCAGACGGACTCGAGGAGGAGATCAAGGATGCTTGGGGGATGAGGCAGAGAGCAGTGGGACATAGGGCACAATGCTACAGGGGAAGGAGACAAAGGGAGCTGTAAGACGAGAATGGGGGAGGAAATGAGAGGGAGAAATGGCAGCAGAGAGAGGGACAGTGGGACTACGCAGGAGCCTTGCAGCTGAGGACAAGGGGCTTGAGAGTGATGTCAGAGGAGACCGGCAGCCCGTGGGGGAATGACGTGGCGCGAGCCGGAGCTCAGCAGCAGCGGGGTTTGGGCACCCGGGGAGCCAGCCGAGCAGTGCCACAAGACAGAGAAGGTTACGGTGATCCAGCTGACAGATGTCGGGGGTTCAGCAGGGGCAAAGGGCAGCTCCTGGAGAAGCAACTCCATGACTTAGCCAGCGGCCAGAGCACGAGGGATCTGTGTCAGAGGTGGCACCGAGATGGGGCATCTGGAGAGCGAGTGCCCGTGGGGACAGGGACGGGGGGAGGAGGAAGCCCAGCCGCCTAGCGCGAGCGAATCTGAGCAGGGGCTGCTCTCTGAGTGACGGCAATGTCACATCTGCTGCTTCTCCCAGGCCTGGGGGGCTGCAGCGGTTCCCCTCCCCCCTTCCCAGGCCTGGTGTTCTGGGGGGTGGGGGTAGGAGCCATCCTGCTGCTCAACGGACGGGAGGGGGAAGCAGAGCTGCCCGGCTCCCTGCTCCCCTCATGTGAGAATGGCTTCAGTCCTGGAGAGGAAGGGGGAGGGAGCGCGGTCTGCTTCCCGCAGCACTTCTGATTGGCTGCTCTACTGCAGAAGGCGGGGCGGTGGGAAAAGCAGCCAATCAATCAGAGCCTCCCCTCTCCCCCTCCCGGCAGGGCTGTAAGAAACCCAGTGGGAGCTGTAGAAGACGTGTTTCCAGGTCTGCACCCCCTCTGACTAGCTGCTCTTACAGTACTGGATGCACAGGGGAGTGGGGGGTGGGAAAGAGACAAGCTGGATCCAGGATCACTGCTCAGCCATTAAGGGAAAAATGGGTGACAAATGCAAAGCTCTTCTGGCACAAACTCCAACACACAATTTCATTTCCACTTGCCTGTCCCGACAAAGTCAGCTAACCACCAAGGAAGCCCTTAAGAAAAGTGTGGCCTGTTTTGTAATTAAAAGAAAGGTAAGGCTCTACCCTGATTAACATAATACCATGCTAGGTTTCAGAGGAACAGCCGTGTTAGTCTGTATTCGCAAAAAGAAAAGGAGTACTTGTGGCACCTTAGAGACTAACCAATTTATTTGAGCATGAGCTTTCGTGAGCTACTAGCTCACGAAAGCTCATGCTCAAATAAATTGGTTAGTCTCTAAGGTGCCACAAGTACTCCTTTTCTTTTTGATAATACCATGCTGTAGGCCAATTTATTTCTTCACTGTGCAGGTGTTTCCACTGAGAATGTAGAAACTGGATTCCAGACCAGTCTAAAGCTTTTTCCATAATCCACCAGCAAGAGGAGCAACCTTCACAAAGGACATATTCCCTATTAGATAGACTTTAATAATCTCCATATCAGAGGGAAAGGAAAATAAAATCTAGTAGCAGCCTCATTATTGGCTAAGAAATAAAAAGTAGCAGCCCAGGAGGATCTGGGTTTTTTTGTTTTGCTATTTAAAAGACCTCTTTTCTTGGTGGATGCTAGATGTGGAAGAGCCCAAGGTTTCTCTGCAGAAGAGAAGAATGGTCTCTCCTCTCACAGGGGGACTTCTGGACATCTCATCTTACACAGTATACCCCAGCCATTTGGCACATGGCACAAAAACAGCAGGACTAAGCAGCCACTGTGGACAAAGTGTTAAAGGCACAAGAGCTTCATGTCAGCTTCAGGTTTTGTTTTTGTTTTTCTTGAAAAGTTCCCCTGCAGTTTGGCTGCAGGTAGCTGCTATGTTTATTTCCCAAGCAGGTGAGATGCAGTTCCTGTGCAAAGTCACATATGAAAAATTCTGGTTTCCAGTATTGCAAATATCCTAAAAAACTATACCTTTAACATACTTCTGTTACAGGCACTCCACTGCAAACCTTGTGGATTTACACACAGGAAATCTATCAGATTTCCATCCCAAGTAGTATCTCCTCTAAGATGGGAACCAGTGGAGCTCAGTAAATGGAACACACTTCTTTCGCAGGGAGGGACATTCAGCAAAAAATAAGCAGCACCAGGTAGTGTGAATAAAAGCACCATTACTTTGCGAGTCACTGATCTTTTCCAGCAGGCTTTTACTTCACTGGCTCTCTTCTCAGCACCCACAGGAGCAGTATCCTCTGCTTGTACATGAGGAGATGCACCTGTCCTAGGCATCCTCACAGCACTGTACAGTTTAGGCTATTCCTACCCTGGTGAACATCTGCATGCAGGAGCTGCTCCAACCAGTGGTAGGAATGTATTTTCTAGGACTGAATGGCACTTGGCATGCACTCCCTTTTCCCTTCCTTTGCACAGTGTCCAGGTCACAAGTTTGCAGATGAGCAAAGGCCTGTGTAGAGTCCATCTGTGAGAAGCTGCTCACTACATATTTGGTTCCATGAGGACATCCGCTTGCAATTGTTGCTGGTATTTCTGCCGGCGTTCACAGCGGGGGCAAGATTTCATGCTGTCTTGGCAGCACCTGTGGAAGACAGTTTTACAATCTCTGCATCTACAAGAAAAGCAAAATCAAAATCATCTCTTCAGCAACACCTCGATCACTGGGCCTAGGGCTGAGAATACAGATTCCTCACATCGTGAGAGTGTAACTTGAGAGTTTATTTCTATTTCTTCAGATTCTACATAACTCCCACCCCATCCATACAAATGCTCTGACAATGATTCGATTTATCCATCACCAGCCAGCAGCATAAATATTAACATACAAATAAACTAACTCAGCCAGCCAGCAGCAAAAATCAGTCAAAGAAATGGAGACAATTTACCTCCATCAACCACCAAGTACAGCTGGAAAAGCCAGAGGAGAGCCTTGTGCCCCCATGTCAGTTCAGGGTCAGCTGTCTGCAGTCAGCTGTTGGAACATTATTTACTGTTTCCAGATAAAAGAGAATTAGGGGAAACACTACGAAAGAAGAGGGTTTTGCATGCCCCTAAGTGTCACAGCAGAAAAAAGCTCTTAAGAAGTGGAATATAAAATGAAAATATTGAAGGTTGAATTGCTAAAATCTTGGTGGGGGGAGGGGGAGGCGATTGTAACTAGCTAATGATGTTGCTGTGCGACAAGAAAAGGTTCATTTTAAAATGCAAGTCAGCACAGGCCAGGGCACCCAGCAATTTCAGAACGACTGTAAGAACGAAGACTCTGCCTCTACTCCCTGCATCAAGGGCCCAGCCATGACCTCCCCCAACATCCTCCTTGCCCCATTGTGGGACCAGACCGTGCTCATATCTGACAGAGCAGGAAGTGCTGCCAGACAGCTAGAGGCAGACATTGCTAGGGAGGAGACACTACAAGTGTCTGCAGGCACCCTCGAGATGGGCAGAAGGGGATGCCTTGGGAAGGAAAAGCCTTCTGATTTCTGTGACTGAGCAGAAAACACAAACTCGGTTTTGATTTCGTTAAGCTGCGGGGATGGCGGAAGCCAGATTAGCTAGGCGGTGATCGTGGAAGGCTCATTGCATAGGCACGAATACTCCCGGGAGGCATCCCTCTTCTGTGGCAGAGCCTGCAATGAGCGTGGAATGTAAAGAGCAGCAAATTACACATTGCATCAAGCTATTCAGAACAGGCTTTGTAGTAAAGTCTGGTTAACTGGTTATGCTGGGCAGAGTGAGGGAAAGTTCAGGGACTGCAGGTGCTACAGGAAGTGCTGCATTGCTTGTTTTCCCCCATCTAATCCACTTACATGTCCAAATCTTGCTTGCTGAAAGGGCAAACTCAGGCAACCCAAGCTAGATTTAAATGACACCAATTCTGGTGAAATGCAAACGTCTCACACACAACAGATATACTTGAGACGAGCACTCTGATGCTGTAAATCTGGGGCTGCTCGGTATACAATAGACACATGACGCAAGTTCCACACACCAAAGAAACAACAGGCGGCCCAGGTGTTGAGAGCAGAGGGTAAATCCAAAGGAAGTGGAGAAAAACAGCGTTTGCACTGATGTTAACAAAGTGGGGAAGCCACAAAAACACATAGCACTGTTCTTGTCTGAAAGAGCTAGGGCAAAACTCTGCTCTGGGTCATGCTGGTGTACATCCAGAGTAATTCCACTGGCTTCTATGGATTCATACCTGCGTAATTCACAAGAATTGGACCTTTAAGTATAGTACAGTGGATTGTGGAGTCCCATTACTAAAGGATGAAAGCTCCCCGATACAGCAGGCACCTGCTGAGAAGCTGCACGAGTGCTGTGCAATTTTGTAGCCCCACAGCCCATTGCCCGCAGTGCAGATTTACACTGCGTGGCCAATATGCCACTTTTCAACCACCCCCACCCCATGGGGTCCCAGAACCCAGGCTCCAGACCGAGCCTGAACATCCACACAGCAATCTTACAGCCCTACAGCCCGATCCCCACAAGCCCAAGTCAGCTGGTGTGGGCCAGCCGTGGGTGTTTAATTGCAGTGTAGAAATACCCAGTGGGGCTGGAATTTCATCCAGAGTGTTTGTGAATGAGTTGTTGCCAAAAGGAAATGACTGCACCCTCCACCTGCCAGGAGAATGGTTTCAGGAAATGTCTGCCGCTCATGTGAAAATGACAATGTTGCTCACACATTGTTAGGAGGCATTTCAGACATATCCTGCAGTGAATCATATACAACATGACCCCGGCAGCCAGCTGTTACACATGGCAAAGAGCAACAGCAGCCTGCTTCAATGGGATGAGGTTAACAGTCTTAGATCACAGTCAACAGGATATGCCGCTCTCATCCCAGGGCTGGCAGGGTGGCGCACCTCCTCCTGGACGCCTGGGACCAACATGTTCTGGTTGTGGGTCTGGCTTAGTCAGAAGATATGGGGGGGAAAGTCAGCTGGGGCTCTCATGTTAGATACTGAATGTGGAGCAATCCCTGCCCTCGGCTGAAGGGGCAGATATCACAAGCCATTCTGCTAAGCACATCCAGACCGGAGATACTCCTTAGTCCTGATGTGGTAGGCCCACATGGTCCCACAAATCTCTTGTAGAGCTTCTGGACTGGCTACTAGGCTTGGTATAGTAGTACACGAATTGCCAGAGCGTATCAACGGCCGGACTAGTGTCCCATCTCCAAAAGCCACCTGCCCCAGCTGCTTAGGAGGAAGGCACAAGAAACCCTGCACTGGACAATTACAGAATAACCTGCCCGTGGGGGAAAACCTCTCCCCATAGTAGTACACGAATTGCCAGAGCGTATCAACGGCCGGACTAGTGTCCCATCTCCAAAAGCCACCTGCCCCAGCTGCTTATGAGGAAGGCACAAGAAACCCTGCACTGGACAATTACAGAATAACCTGCCTGTGGGGGAAAACCTCTCCCCCTGGTCCTGGATAGTTAGTGGTTGGATCAGGCCTCGAAGGAGGGTAGGTATACTTTAATAAACATGAAATGCTAGCTAACAGAGCTGCAGACATGCACTGTTAATGTAAGTGTATCCTTTTCCGAAACCTGCTCAGGTGATATCCAGTGGCACTGAGTCCCACGGGCTAGTTACGCACAGTGTAAACAAATGCTTCTTTTGTTGTAGGAAAGAGTAAATAGGAGTATGCTGTCTCCCGTCTCGGCTCCAGTCAGGATTTTGTCCCCTCAGCCATCTCTGCTCTCAACAATTTCACTCTCTCTTCACACGGAGGGATAGCTCAGTGGTTTGAGCGTTGGCCTGCTAAACCCAGGGTTGAGAGTTCAATCCTTGAGGGGGCCATTTAGGGATCTGGGGCAAAAAAAATTGGGGATTGGTCCTGCTTTGAGTGGAGGGTTGGACTAGATGACCTCCTGAGGTCCCTTCCAATCTGATATTCTTTGATTTCCAGACCACTAACTATTTTCTTTGTCCATTTACTAGACCATCAGTCTTTTCACACTCACCATTTGGAAATCTCTCTGGGCCTTGAATCCCCTGTCTCTGAGCTCCTATTCCTGCTATCACTGGTTTTAACTATAGAATTGGGTGACCGGAACTGAACACAGTGTCCCTGGCGAGGGTGTCCCACCAATTTATACAAAGACATTCCAATCTTTGCAGTATTATTTTTGAGCCCATTTGTAACCCTCAAAAGTGCATCAATGGAATAACTCATGCTTAAATTTAAGCATGTGTTTAAGTGGATCAGGGCCAGAGCCCTGCACAGCACCTTGCAGGATTGAACCCCCTGTCTGGGAATTTAGGGCACTGACTCCTTTATAGCTCCCTGTGCACCCTGGAGCTCAGTCCACGGAGTCTCTTGCAGGTTTCAATCCTGCTGACAGAGTTAGCACATTTATTTTGCAACTCGCTCTGGAAATTCTCTCTCAACCATCCTGATTCTACCTCCTACCATTTCTATTAGCTTCTCTACGGCTGCACTGCCTTTTTCTGAAGGACACCTGTTTGAGTCAAATAACTTCTGGACTCACTGAAGCCAATGGGAGCTGCTGGGTGCTCAGCACTTTTGACAGCCACACCACTTGTTTAGGAGCCTAGGTGTGGCCTCAGGAGCCCAACACTAGGCCTGTGTGCTCAGCACAGGCAACAGGCAGCTGTCTAGTCACCATCTTCTTTCCCAACACACCCAGGAGAGGACAGGATGGCCCAGTACTTCAGGGACTAGCCTAGGACTTAGGTGACCTGTGTTCACGTCCCTGCTCCACCACAGCCTCCTTGGGTGAGTCCCTTTGGGCTTGTCTACACTTGAAAGGCTGCAGTGTAAACATGACCTGTGCCAACAGAAAGGGTTTTCCCACCGCCATAGTTACTCCACATCCTGAGAGGCAGTAACTAGGTCAATGAAATAATTCTTCCATCAGCCTAATGCTGTCTATACTGGGGTTAGGTCGGCTTAACTATGCCACTGGGGTGTGGATTTTTCAAACCCATGAGTGACGTAGCTCAGTTGACCTAACTTTTTAGCCTCAGTCTCAGTTCCCCGCCTGTAAAATAGAGATAATAGCCCTGCCCTGCCTCCCAAGGGTATGTGAGGGTACATCAATTAAAGATTACGAAGCCCTCAGATACTACAGTTTTGGGGACCAGAAAAGTATCTAAGATAGACAGACAGGCTACATCAAAACCTGCTTCTCATCAAATCTCTGAACAGATCGATTCTGCAGCCTTCCCTTGCAGGAGGAAGAGTTGACAAAGCCAGTCAGGAGTTTCCTGGGCCTTCCACACTAAACGTCCCATGACAGGAAGTTACAATGGAAAGCTTCACTCACCGGGTGGTTGTGTCGAACTCAAAGGGGAAAATGATGCTGCTGTTGTTACACATCTGACAGATGAAACCCCGTTGGGTACAGAGGTCACAGTTATAGACATGGTGGGAAGCAAACTGGATCAGAGATTGCAGGTACACTTCAAATATGCCATCGGCTATCTGCAGAACAGAGAAAACTTAAAATAACATTGGGGAAGTCTGTCTGTGTGGGTTCTTGCTGTGCAGCTTCTTTGTGCAACCTCGAGCTACTCCTGCACACACACTCGTGGTGGTTAGTGCTGTCTGAAAATATGGCCACGCTCGGAAAGTGACTAATACTGTGACTGCTTCCAGCCATACCAGGTCTGGTGGAGTCCAGAGCACATCTGCTCAATTTGCAAGTGAAAAGGTGTTTTACTAACTGCCAGGCCTGCAAATTCAGCTAGGAGCAGAGTCAAACGAAGGCTTTGTCTACACTAGTACTTTTGTCGGCAAAACTGGTGCTGGCCAGGGGTGTGAAAACACCCGCCCCCCCCCATGACATAAATTTCACTGACGAAAGTGCTGGTGTGGACAGCGTGGTGTCGGCAGGAGAGGCTCTCCTACCGATATAGCTAACGTTGCTTGTTGGGCGGGGTTTAATTCTCTCTCCTGCTGGCAAAGCGTCTACACAGGAGATCTTACAGCTGTAGCAGTCCAGCTGTGCCGCTGTAAGATCCGTAGTGCAGACGTAGTCTGAGTTTTCTCTGGTATGCATCTCTCCTTTTCCCAAGACTGCTCTGGTCTGGGGATGTGCAGAGATCCGTTCTGTCACCTCTCCTGTTCTATACGTATGTGAGGATGCTGGGGGAGATTGTGACACGGGCTGCATACAACTGATATGTGGGTTCCAAAACACCTTTTCATTGTACTCCCACGGTGCAGTGTCTTTACTCTCTCCGTGAGAAATGCACTCCTGTGCAGAGGGAGTCCCACTTCAGCTGTGAGTCGAGGCAGAAGTGGGATTTAACTGCTGCAGAGCAGTGCGCTGGCTGAACTGCACCCCTAGCACCTTGCTGGGATAAGGATTTGGATGTGGGGAACCTCAGTGGAGACAAGACGGAGGTGGTGCTGGTGGGCAGAGACACATCTGGAAGGTATGGGCAGGGGTGGCGTTTGGCCCAGAGAACAAGGCACTTGCCCTCTGCCCAAGAAGTTACATTTAAGGGTAGTTTTGGGTCCCTGATTGGTTCTCTGGCCTCCGGTGCCGTCAGCGGTCAAGAGCATTTGAGCCTGGGAAGGTGACTCTCCATTTCTCTGACAACAGGCAGGTCGCCAGAGGAGATTCCGGCTGTGCTCTCTGAGGAGCTTGTCTTTTAGTGCAAGATGTAGCTGTGCGAGTCACAGGCATCACTACCCCAAGAGCTGTACTGCCTCTTTTTTGGCTCTGGATGCAATTCCAGCTGCTGACTCAGATCGATACAGATTTATCTAGTTTGGTTCCTGGCTACCAAGCAGACTCCCTCTCTTGCTGTCTGTCCCATGGCATGCATCATCTTTTAGGTGCTTTTGCTACAGTCCCAAGATTTGACCATAGAAATAATGGAGGTTGAATCCCAGCATCTGTTGGGATGCAGGGCACAGCGAAGGGCCAGTTTTGAAATGAGAAGGTCCGGCTGGTGACTTAGCCCCAGAGGCTGTAGCAGGGCCTCTCACATTCACACAGACACCTACCATCACTGATTGCAGTTGTGGTGGAAGAAACGTGTTATGGTTTGAGTCCTTTGCACCTTAGAGAATCCTCATCCCTCCTTGCATTTTGCCCATGAATTCCCCAGATATGGTCAAGTCAGGGCTGCAGCCAGGGCATTCCAAATGGAGGGTCCCAAACTCTGGAACTTTCTCCTCACTTTTTGGGCTGACAGACCCAGTGTCTGTTGCCCGTCAGGGCATGCTCTGAAGCCTATCCATCCTTTATTTGTATGGGAGAGGTGGGAAAAGTGCAGGGTTTGGTTTGAGGTTGGGTGTATGTGGTGGGGTATCTGCCCACATGGCTTGGAAGGGGTTAAGGTGGCTAGGCAGGCCAATTAACTCCCCTGGGTGCACCTGGAGGAGGAGTCAGCGAGCTAGCCACGCATTAGGAGCAGGCTGAGCTATGCAGAACAGGCAGGGCCAGCATATAGCCATGTAGCTGGCTGCAGGCAGCGGGCTGCAGTCACTCCCTGAGTGGAGGGAGTCAAGAAGCTGGTAGCTCTAGAGAGGGGGAAGCCAGTAGAGTAGGAAGAAGCCCAGGGAAACAGCCGTGAGGACTAAGGAGATATAGGCCATGGCTGCGTGTTCTAGGGTGCCTAGGCTGGAGCCCAGTGTAGAGGGTGGGCCTGGGTTCCCCTACCAGCCCCCGGATAGTGGCACAGGCGTTGGAGATGCCACCCTGACAGCAGGGTCTGGAAGGCCTTTGGATTCCTTGGAAGGGGAGGATTTTTGTGACCAGGCTGGAGGGCCAAGCCACGAAGAGGAAGCTGTTGGTCCAGCAGTGACTGGGGTAGCAGGACAAGACAAGACAGGGGAAGACGCTGCCGGAGGGAGTGCGCATGCTGGTGGAGCTAATCCCCAGGATGGCCAGCAGGAGGCACTGCAAGCAGGGAGTGAACCCTGCGACTATGTAATTTATAGGTTAACCCTGGATCAACATTACATGCAACTAGAGCTCAGGTTAGGTCGGGGTGGGAAAACTTTTTGGCCTGAGGGCCACATCGGGGTGCAAAACTGTATGGAGGGCCGGGTAGGGAAGGCTGTGCCTCCCCAAACAGCCTGGCCCCTGCCCCCAATCCGCCCCTTTCAACTTCCCACCCCCCTAAAAGCCCCTGACCCATCCAACCCCCCTGCTCCTTGTCCCCTGACCACCCCCTTCCAGGACCCCTGCCCCTAACAACCCCCCGGGACCCCACCTCCATCTAACCCCCCTGTTCCCTGTCCCCTGACTGCCCCCCCCAACCTCTGCCCTATCCAACAGCCCCCTGCTCCCATCCCCTGACCGCCCCCCCGAACCTCCACCCCAACCCCTGACTGCCCCCCGGGACTCCCTGCCCCTTATCCAACCCCGCGGCCCTGGCCCCCTTACCATGCCGCTCAGAGCAGCATGTCTGGCCACCGCACCGCCCGGCTGGAGCCAGACACTCTGCCCTGCATGAGCGCACAGCCCCGCCACCCAGAGTGCTGCCCGCACGCCGGCATGACTACGGGGGAGGGGGGACAGCAGGGGAAGGGGCCGGGGGCTAGCCTCCCGGGCCAGGAGCTCAGGCATGACGGTCCCGTGGGCCGCATGTGGCCTGTGGGCCGTAGTTTGTCCACCTCTGGGTTAGGTGCATATTAATAAGGCTGTGAGTCTGTCACAGAAGTCACAGATTCTGTGACTTTCCAGGACCTCCCTGACTTCTGCAGCGGCCAGCGCAGTAGACCCCAGGGCCGCAGGACCCCCCCCTGCTCCCCCCCCCCACAGAGCACCTAAGTTTTAGTCAGGGATATTTCTATAGTACAAAATTGCCTGTGACCTGTCCATGACTTTTACTAAAAATTGGCATGACTAAATCCTAGCCTTACATATTATATACAGAACTGACCACCATACGCCTGTACCCTATCTACAGGCACAGAGTCACATAGTGAGAGAGAGAGATGCTGAGCAAAGGAAATACAGGTACAATGTGAGTTGTTTGATCCTTTATAAGTAGCAAAAACTGTCAGTTTCAGCTTCCTTTCCATGCAGAGAAACCAAAACATTTTCACCAGTGACACAGTAAAAAATAAGTCAAAGCTCCTACCTGTCTCAGATCAGCGACACTGTATTTATGGGGTGATTCCAAGAGATAGTCCCGATAACCCAGTCTTCAAACAAACACAAAACAAGAAGTGTCAGACATGTTTTACCAGGGCCGTAACAGACTTCGAGACGGACATGAAACAGATGACGTCGACTCTGAAGAAAACTACTGCAAATCTGCCTTCACTAGTACTGATCACAGATTTTGTTCCCATTACCTCTACATTAAAAACGGTTTGAGAGATGGTCAGAGAGTACTTTTATTATATAATTTTACCTAGCTATTTCCTCTCAGGAGATTGCTTTGGTTCAGGATGGTATTTTCTTATCATGATTTCCTTCCCCACATCTCTTAACACATGGGCCCAGAAACTGATGTATAACAACTCTTAACAGCAGATGGAAACAGGGAAAAACCACAAAGCCCTTCCAGCACCACTCTACCACAGAACAAGCTGGCTCAGAGAGCTCTGCTCAAAACTTGCTGAGTCACAAGAACAAAAGCTACAAGAACTTCCCATTAAATTCCAAAAGGAGAAGTCAGAGGACAACAGTCCCAAGGACCCCAGCACAAACCAGGGGGATTTCTGGGTGAGTGAGAATTGGAGAAACTCAGTTAACCGGTGAGAAATGACCATTCTCGGATATCCAACAGCCTGGGACCTCCCGACCTGCCATAGCTGTGATCAGGAGCGGCCTTGCTCTTGACGCCGCTAGGCAGAACTGGGAGGAGGGCTATTGGCATAGCACTCAGTGAGGGTCCCTTTCCTTTGGAGCAGTCTGCTCCCAGTGAGTCAGCATGGCTCCCGTCTATTGTCCTTTGGGATCACTGGAAAGCCCATCGCTTTGGGTTGGCATTGGCAAAGGCTTGAGGGAGTGTTGCCAGTCACAACCATCCAAAAGTCATGGTTCAGGCTGCTTAAAATCATCAGCTTGGTTTAAAAATCAGGAGATTAAAAAAAAATAATTTGGGATCTTTTTAATTTGCCTTCTAGTTCAAGTGTTTCAGGGTCACGTTTTCCAGCTTTTCTCCTCCACCAGGTGGGCTAGAAACTTTAAACAATAAAGCTGAGATACTCATGTAATCTCAGGATTCCAAGGGCCGGGGCTTTAAGGAAAATGCCAACTCTGATGAGATGTGATCAGATTGCCAGAGGTGACAAACACCAAGGGTGGGCCTGCTGTCTAGCAGGAAAGTGCACAGAGGGCTTCTAAGCTGCACTGGTCTCAGGACTGGGGAACAGATGGGGTGTGTGGAGGGGAGGGGAGGGAAGGTGCCGCTCTGTTTCATTTTTACTTTGCATCTCCTGCCAAGTAGCTTCAGCTGTTCTCTGCTTCTACAGATTCAACTCATCCTCTCCACGTGAGCATAAAGGTTTTTGTTCACCCATTTCAGACTGAGTAAGGGTTGATTGCGGATTTGATTCAGGCATTTTTTAAATGTACGGTCAAGGGTGCCCAGAGCTTTGGATGGGGGCTGAGTTTGCATACGACACAAACCCTATATGGCAGGCCCCATCTCCAGGACAGCCACAGGGGGAGTACGAAGAAGCAAAAGCTGGTAGAGAACAATGCACAGGGCCCTATCTAATGTAGGCAGGAGCACCGGGTAAGCCAAGGTGTTAAAGGTATGTATGGACCCACAGCTTTCTGTCTCATTCAATTCAAGAAGGGAGGTGATTTCTGACACACTGTTTTGATGAAATGGGCCTGGCTGGGAGGCGGAGAGTGGCTAGCAGGACAATGGCTAGCATTTACCAGCACTTCATGCTTTTCAAGGACTATAAAGGCATTAGAAAATCCTCCCGAACTCCCATGATGTGGGTAAATATCATCTCCATTTTATAAGGGAATAAGGGAGAGGATAAGTGACTTGCTCAAATCACACAGTCAGGCAGGTGGTAGAGTCAGGATTAAAACCCAGCAGGTTCTAGCTCCCATGAGTTCCTTTAGTTCAGTCTCCTCCAGAGAGTTACTGAGCTCCAGAACTAGAAAGACCCTCTCCTTGGACCCAGGGCTGGATCGTTAGGTGCTATGGACTATCTAACACCTCATGTCCTTTGCAGATCAACCTGAAGATCTGCACTGAAGGTGCTGGCAATTTGGGGTTCAGGATTGATCGCTGCCTTGCCATAAGGTTAGGATGCCGGGGAATTCTTAGAGAGGGTCCTCACCGTTTGCTCAGCTCCTTCAGGGCCCCACTGCGACACATTATAAGGTAATCACCAAGTAGTTTCAGCTGTTCTCTGCTTCTACAGATTCGACTCATCCTCTCCACGTGAGCATACAGGCTTTCATTCACCAATTTCAGATTGATTAAAGGTTGAATGCGGATTTGATTCAGAAATTTTAAAGCTTGTCGAGAAACCTAAAATATAGAAAAAACAAGCATTGATAGGGGCTCAATTCAAAGCACACTGAAATCTATGAAAGGGTTCCCAGTTACTCCAGTGAGTGTCAGATTACTGCCTATCTGCAAAGGAGGTTTAAAAGGAAAACATAGAGGAGGAAGAAACAGTCAGTGACTGGGCACCAAAAGTGCTGATTCATAGATTTTAAGGCCAGAAGGGACCATAAGATTGTTGCACCTTCCACATAACACAGGCCAGAGAATTTCATCATGACTCAAGTACATCTTCCAGAAAGTCATCCAGTCTTGATCTGAAGACTCCAAAAGATGGAGAATCCACCACTCCTGTAGCAGCTTGTTCCAAAGGTTAATCACCCTCCCTGTTAAAAAATGTGTCTTATTTCTAATTTGAATTTATCTGTCTTGAATTTCCCGCCATTGGTTCTTGTTCTGCCTTTCCATGCTACACTGAAGAGCCTTTCAGTGCTTGGTATTTTCTCAGTGTAATAAATTCATCTCCTGATCTTTTTGAAAATTAAACAGACGGAGCTCCCCAAGTGTTGTACTGTGAGGCATTTTGTCCAGCCCTCAAATTATTTTTGCAGTTTTTTTCTGCACCCTCTTCAATTTTTCAACATCCTTTTTCAAGCATGGATGCCAAAAGTGCACACAATATTCCAGTACTGGTCTCACCAATGCCACCTTTTGCTTCTACTCACTACTGCCCCGTTTTTACCTCCCAGGATTATATCAGCCTTTCTGCGGAGCAGGGGGATGTTTAAAGAATTGGGTATCCCCTGCCTGGACCATCCATAGACTTACTGCTCTTTTAGTCAAGTCCCAGTTGTGGATAAGGCGCGATGGAATCACAGACTCGTCGTCCTGATGGCAGCTGTCACAGTAATAGAGGCCAGAGAATGCACAAAGTTTGGGTTTCACAAAACTGAGTCCAATCTGTCTGGAGCAACCTGAAAAGAAGAGAGATTGAACAGCGAGAGAGTAACAAACACTCATTCCCCCATTCACTTCTGAAGATGGGTCCAAACAGCACAGACCCTGGGAAGTTTGGCTGTGTATGGAACCACATGTTGCAGAGCACATCTCTAATTATTACAGGGCAGCACAGTGGTTCAGGGCTAAAGAAAGATCAGGAGAAAATGAGAAGATGAAACCAGAAAAAGTAACAAAGGAAAATCCCGCAGAGGGAGATTTAAAGAGGGAGCATCCAGAAATAGTGACAATTAATTTGCGAAAGGAAGAGTGCACTTCCCAGTGGATGAGATTTTTTTCTGCTCTATAGTGGGGCAGTTCACACAGTGGGTTATGTATATCCTGTCCAGAAGATGGAGAGAGGAAATCGAAGTTCTATGATGTTTTCCCCAAAGTTTTCCAGCTGACCAAAGCAGTTACAGAAAAAACAAAAATGTGGAAAACTAAACTAAATAAAAACAAATAGTGAGCAGCAAGACCATGAGGAAAATGACTGACTCCAGCTACTGAGGCATGCACACTACTGTAATGAGACTACAACTGGAAAGAGAGAGACGGGGCAGAGTCTCAGGCTATGTCTACAGAGAGCATCTCCTACCAGCAAAGCACTCTCCACACCAGCACTTTTTGTCAGTAAAACTTTTGTCGGTCAGGGGTGTCTTTTTTCACACCCTTGACCAACAAAAGTTTTACTGATGAAAGTGCAGTATACACATAGCCTTAGTCTGGCATGACCAGCTAGGGACAAAGTAAAATCTGCTTAGAGAGAAAACTGTTCTCTGGGAAGCTCTGGGGGAAAGCAGACAGGCCACGGGCTCCCAAGGACCTCTCTACTTGAGGTGTGGGCCCCCAATTCGTACTGTTTGCCTTTGCAGCCAGCTCTTCAGCCAGCAGGGGATGGTGTGGGAGAGAGAGGCCCACCAGTCAGGTGTCTCCAGTGTCATCTCTTCCCCCTCCCACACCTTCTCGATACAGGCCTAAGAAGCAATCTAACAGGAGTGCCCTGGCATTGTCTTCGCAGGAATCAATGGAGGCTGACATATTAAACAGAATCCATTCAATTTGTATCCAACCAAGTAGCTGCCTGCCGCTGGGCTTGAACATTCTGATGGAGAATGAACCAGATCAGGTGAGGGTGAAACAGTATTAAGGGTCTTGCATCCGCTGAAGTGAGCTGTAGCTCACGAAAGCTTATGCTCAAATAAATTGGTTAGTCTCTAAGGTGCCACAAGTATGCTTTTTCTTTTTACTGTTGAAAATGTGACTTATTTCCATGGACGTGACCAGCTAGTAAAGCGGACGCACAGTCTCCTCTGTGGCTAGATAAAAAAAATGTCCAGGCTCAGCCAGGGATGTAGAAACACTTAAAAGGAGCAGATGGAAACCAAATAAACTGGATTCTTGGACCTCGCTTTCCCCTGTGGGTTCATTCTGGTGAGACCTTTGGTAATGATTTCTTCTTGCTAGTCACATCCCACTGTAAGTGGCTTGTGTGTCAAATGGGGAACAGCTCACTCTCACTAGGGTCAGTGAACATGGGAGCAGAACCTGACTGAGCAGGCTGCTGTGTACAGCTCTCAGCAGGTGGAGAGAAGAGTGTATTGCAAGAAGAGCAAGAGCCATGGACTGTATGTGCAGAGTCTCACGCTACAGTTGGCTGGGAGCCAGGGTCTCTCTCTAAACTCCTATCCTTCTCTTCCCACCTGTGGTAGTACAAATGGGCTACAAGCTGCTCCTGACAGAGAGAAAGTGGCATACAGAAAAGAGAAGCCCCAATGGAAAATCTAGATTCCAAATCAGGCCAGTTTAAAGGGTTATAAAATGACTGAAGACAGAGGAAAGCAAAGCTCAGACAGAGGCTGTTCTACCTGCCAGAGACAGGAAGTTGGGCTGGCATTGCAAAAGACACAGTCTGCGGCTTCCATCTATCAGGAGCAGAATACCCATTATTAGGACAGAAGGAACCGAAGTTTCAGAAATGAATAGACACACCCGAGACAGTTAGAGACTGAGTGGGAAAGATATAAAACGGGAGTTAAAAGAAAGTTCTGAAAAACATGTAGGGCACAGGAAACATTATAGGAGTGACAGAGAAGTCTGAAGGGGATTTTTCAAGTTTAATCAACTTACCATATTAAAGAAAGAGCAAATGCAGCTTTATGTAGAAATCAATGATCGTTATCCTATTAAATCAAAATGACCTTGTATATTAGAAGGTATTTGTTGTTTGTGGTTAAATGAATATTTTACTTAAGAAGGTTGTCACACTTGTAATATAAAACTGTTAAAGTGAAATTATTTGTCACTGGAATATTGATCTTTTAGAAAATGCACTTATTCCTCATGATTTGCCCATGTTTATCCCACAGGTTGTAGCCATGACTTTCAGCTGTGATGCCCCATTAACACAGTCCTCGCCTTTCCGGCAGAGGCTGAAGTAAGTGAGCAAATCAGAGCCAACATGTACCTACCTGCACATATGAAGCTCTGGGAGTCCAGTCCTTTCTCCATGGGGATGGCCACCAGATATTGTAAGAAAAAGCCATTTTCCTTTACAGTGTTTTTCAAGATTGCCTGAGAATTCCCATCCAAATTGCCACCAAGTGTCAGGGCTTCCTCTGCAGTTTCAAGATATGAGGTTAATACTCTACGAACAAGCCCCCTCCATGCTGCGGCGGCATCAGCACTCTCAGCTTGCAGCTTCAAGATGGCTTTAGAGGTTATCACCTTGAAAAACGCAGGCCCACCAAGACTCGTGTCGGGAAGAATGTCTTGGATTGTCTCTATTCCATAGCTGTTGCTTAATGTTTTTTCATCGTTCTTTACTTTAAAGCATTTTAAAGCTTCTAATGACAAGGAAAAAATAAAAGGAGCCCAAGCTTTATCTACATCCATATAAAGAACCGATTCTTTAATGGCATCTAATTCTGGTGCAAGAGAAGACGTCCAATCACAGGCATTTCCAGCTCTGTTGTACTGGAGCAAAGCAGCTGAGTCACCGAGCAACACTCCAATTGTGTGTCCTTCAAGGTCGTCTTCTGGACAGTCAAGCGTCTCCCATTCCTCCTCTTGCTGAGGCCGACACTTGCATCGAGCCTCGTGTATCCTGTCTAGCCAGTCCTCAGCTTCATCTTGGGAAGGCGCTCGTAAGCACAGTTTCTTACCAGAGAACACCAGCTCAAACCGGCCGTCACTGTGAACCAGCCCCTGCGACTCGCATCGCAGCAGAGAGTAATTCTCACTGTAAATCCGCTCTTCGTGGTCCAGGAAGAGGCGGAACTCCAGCGGGGATAACTCACAGAAGAACTCTTTCCAGAGGCCCATTGCTCCCCTCCTCTCCAGATTGCCCAGCTTCAGGAGGCCTCGGAATGGATTGGAAAGACCTTTGAGAGGACAAGGCATTTCCATGAAACCCGGAAGAATATGACAGACAAAGCAGAGAAAAGCTAATAAACAATTCACAGCAGCATGCAAATAAACCGCATAAAAAATATTGAATAGACACAGCTGAATCGGTTTGATAATGGCCTGATTTTCCATTGCCGTGCGCCTTGCATTGACACCAGTGCAAAACGAGTGTGTACAAACTCCCCAATGAGAATTGTAACTCTGTCTGCACTTTGCATTGGTGTCAGTGAATACACACCTGAGCCATGGAGGAGAAAGGCATCCTTAGGGCTTTTCTACACTAGAGAAATTTTCTAAATATTTCCCATCACTGTTAATGTGGGCTCAGCAACACTGGGAGCCCAAACATAGCTGCCACTACTGGCCCCGTTGTTATTAACAGTGTCACCTAAACCTGCTCAGAATTGGTCTGATCAGAATAACGTTGTGTAAACCACTTCTTTCACAATGAGGATTTGCCAGGTAGTTTCTAGAAAGAACAAACTGACTTCCAGCTCTCCACAGTGTATAGGCACCTACAGCAGAAAGGGAGGCTAAAAAAGGGCATCAACTCTTCATTGGGATGACTTTTTATCCCATTTCCCAACTGATCCATTCTTGGTTGGAATGCACATACCGATCTGCCTGCGATGAACAACATGGAAGCCCTTTTGTTCTTGGTCAGGGGATGGCTTGGGCTTCCCAGTCTTTGAAGAGGATAAGAGGGGTTGCTCCAAACCGAGTGCACTGATCAGTTCTGCGGACTGGCCTTCTCTGGCCCCCTCAAGAGAGGACCCATAAGAATCAGTTAGGCCTTTACTGCTCCCTTCTGGAGAAGGCCTGTAGAAATCGTCTTCTGATATCCAGCTCCTTCTTTTCTATTTAAAAAAAGAACTGAAATATTATTGAACTTAGGCCAGGATCCTGTAAACATATCCACGCTTAACTTGACACAGGAGCGGAACCATTAACTGCAGTGGGTCTGCTCACATCTATAAAATGAAGCAGGTACATAAATGCATAAAGGTCAGGGTTTAACTGCCTACAAAATCAAGAATGAGTTACAAAACCTTTTAATGAGTTACAAATGTTTGTAAGCTGCACTAACAGCTCTCTGTATCTAATTACTGGTCAGTTAGTCAGTCCTACCCCAGTGCACGGCCATGACAAGTTCTCTCTCTCTCCTTGGTCAATACAGTTAACTGAACAAGATTCGTCACCAGGAGGTCAGAGTAGGAAGTTTTCAGCACCCTCCGAAACACCCCAAGGGATCCACCATTTAGCCCACCATGATCAAAGAAACCTAATTTTGTAGCTGCCATTTCCACCATCACAAAGCACTTAATGAGACACCATCTACAGCTGGCCATTGCTGCTTCTAAATGAGCAACACTAGGCAACCTTTCCCCCCACCCCATTCCCTGAGTGCTGCGCTGCAGAGCTCTTAAAAGAGGTGTTTGCATTAAGTTTGCATCCAAGCTGAGCTGCTTCTACATACTTGCTCCTCAGTTGAGCTACTTTTCTCGTCTTGTACTTTAGCTTAATCAGGTTGACCATTTCTAGTTGACCTTGTCTTCTCACAACTGCAAGACCAAATACTGCCCTCAGTTAAACCCACGCAGCACAAGTGGCTTTTTGAAGTACAAAAAAATTACACAGATTCCTAGATTCCAAGGCCAAAAGGGACCACTGGATCCTCTAATCTGACCTCCTGCATAACACAGGCTGTAGGATTCCCCAACATAATTTCTGTTTGAACTAGACCAGATCTTTAAAAAAAAGAGATAAGAACATAAGAAGAACAGAAGAACAGCCCCACTGAGTCAGACCAATAGTCCATCTAGCCCAGTGTCCTGTCTTCTGACAGTGGCCAATGCCAGGTGCTCCATAGGGAATGAACAGAATAGGGAATCATCAAGTGATCTATCCCCTGTCGCCCATTCCCAGCTCCCGGCAAAGAGAGGCTAGGGACACCATCCCTGCCCATCCTGGCTAACAGACATTGATGGACCTATCCTCCATGAACTTATTTAGTTCTTTTTTGAACCCTGTTATAGTCTTGGCCTTCAGAACATCCTCTGGGAAGGAGTTCCACAGGTTGACTGTGCGTTGTTTGAAAAAATAATTCCTACATGCAATCTTGATATAAAAATTCCCAGTGAGGGAGAATCCACCATAACCTTTGGTAAATTCTTCCAATGATTAACCCACCCTGTTCAACATTTACATCTTATTTCCAGTCTGAATTTGTCCAGTTCTCCTTTATCTTCTATTTTGTGGATGCCCTCAAACTGTAGTAGATTAGAGAAGGACAATTTTCATTAACAGAAGCCATGTTTGTTTGTCCCTGTCCTATCATGTTAATCTAGGCATTTGAAAATTCTATTTGTAATCACTGAAAAGCCCAGGATCACTGTTAGCACGTTTTTTAAAGAGGCAGGTAGTTTATTTGCTGCCTTCCAGTATTGTAGGTAAATCTGAGATGCACATTTTGGTCAGCAGCTCTGCTCGCAAGTTCCTTCAGAACTCAAGACTCTACTATGTGGTCCTAGTAATGTGCTGCTCTTTAATTGACTAATTTGTTCCAGCACCTCCTATTGTAATGCCTCTGGCAAAGAGGACTTTTGTTACTGTTAAAAGTGCATGAGAAGGAAAAGGACTCAGCCAAAAAGGGAACGAAAGAGCATGCACTGCTAGTCTGATGTCTGGTCTTCTGAATCTTTATATGAAGTAATAAAACAATATTTTTTGGGGAAAAAGATATACATATTGTTTTCTCATTAACTTTGAACCCATCCTGAAGCAAATTTCTATCAGTATTGTGAAGTGACACCTACCTCTCTTGGAGTTCTGCAAGCAGGTACAGGCACCCTAGAACAATAACCCCAGACACCTGATCCAGACTAGTTTAAGCCTATTCCCTTAGATTAGGCACTTCTCCATTTCATACACAGACTCTTCAGTTCATGATAAGAAATACTGATTATCTCTGAGTTGTTCAACTGGGTGATATCTTCCACCAATTCCTTAGTCACACTTTAACAGCTGTTCTAATGTAATGAGCACTGCTAAATTGTTCCATCTAATTTTCAAGTATTCTTATAATTTGACCATGAGCTAAATCTTACTCACTTATTTCTTTGGGAAAAAAAACTGTCCCTTCTGTTTGGTAAAGGGACAAACCGCAAACACAAGGCAGCCAGCCCCAAGATACACAATGAACAGGAAGATTATGTTTACTCTAGAATCAGGAATGACTCATGCAGGACAGTAACAGGTATTTAAGCATGATGGACTTTCCTGTTGATATCCAGAAGTTACGAATAGATCAATCAAACTACAGCCAAGAGGCGGGATAGGTAATATGGTCACTGAGCATTTTAAGGAGTAGATATCAACAAGAGAAATTGTTTAGGATGGTTTAAGGATATATGGTAATAGCATTAAGATATAATGATGAGTCATAAGATGGAATTAAGCAAAGCACAATTTAGCCTGAATATCAGGTAACATTTCCAAGCAGTGAAATCTAGCTGATTATTCCAGTAAGCCAACAGAAGTAGTGGGACCCCTTCACTCGAGACATTTAAACTAGACTGAGCATGGGAGAGAACTATCCTGCACTGGCCTCGGTGACCAGATGTTTGATGTTGCATGTAGCAACACCAAGCAGATCTTTTCCACTGGAAAGCGGGGATCTATTTCTGCAGCCAATCGTTCCTTGGCTTTCTCCCTTAGGACCAAAAATCAAGAGAAACTCTCTTTCACTTACCATTGTGGAATGCCAATTCTCAGACTGTTCTTTCAAATTGCAAAGAGTCTAGGGCTAGATTTTCAGCAGGACTCAGCAGCTTCCATTGAGAAGAATAGGGAAGTCCATCCCCTTTCACCAAGAACAATGGAAGCTACTGTTTGAGGAGCCTTTTGGAAAATCCAGCCACCCTTTCATGTAGGTGCTTAATGCGTGCTGGGCTCTTACCTGGCTGCCTAGCTCTGACAGCTTTTGGTGATGCATTTGCCAGGTAATTTAATTCGTTCTGATTTCTCCAAAGCCCAGTGCAGCAGTGTGCCTTTCAGCTACAGCAAAGTACGTACGGAGCAAGGAATATTTTTCACTACAGCTCTGTAGTGAACCTGTGCATATGCACCATGTGGCAGTATTCTTGATTAGTACCAGAGTGACAAAGAGACCAAAACACACTGCGTGTCGGGCTTAACTTAAAACGAACAGCAACCTAGAAGTCTCTATTGCCTTCTACACAACATTCTCTTTACGCTTCCTAACCACTTCCCCGACTTGATTAGCGGCGAAGATCTAAGAACATGGAAAAACAATTGTTAACACCTACTGGACAAGCTGTTGCTGGTGAAAGAAAGAATTCTGTCACTGGGCTGAGATCCTCTTGGCTTTTCTTATCACCATCTATCTCACTGGTTCCATCTTTATCCTCTGGTTTAATAATGTAAAGCTGTTGGGACGAATCTTTGTCTGCTGCACCATTGTGTGTTATGATTGGCTGAGACAACAACTGGATTCCCGTAACATGTGAAGGAGGATCTGGTATCTTGCTGGCCTTAGCTAGATCTTCCGCATGGATGGACTGTGGGTTATCGGTGTCAGGAAGCGGTGCAGAACAAAGAGTGCTCTCCGCTGTTACGTTTAAATGCAGGTGAGAGGCTCTGGAGACTGCAGGAGGAAGTGCGGGCTGCAATGGGGCAGGTGCCAATAGATTAGGACGGAGCGGTTCTTCGGTAGGTTCAGAGACTTGCTGTGCTTGTCTGAATTCAGACAATACCCTTAAAACAAAGTTTAGGCAAATAAAAAATAAGTGAATAGACAGAACAAAGTCTGCTACAAGACATCATTGGTTCCCAGAGGTCATGTGATTATAAAAATAAGTCCCCTGAGGGTTTCAGCCCCTGAAGTACTGTAAGCCTGAAATGACCTATCCCATGCCATTTGTCTAGGTTCTAATAAATCCACTATACTTGTTTCATAGATTCTAAGGCCAGAAGGGACCATCGTGATCATCTACTTGGATCTCCTGCTCAGCACAGGCCCCAGGACTTCCCTTACCTTCTGTTTGAACTAGAGCATGTATTTTAGAAAAGCAACCAATCCGGATTTAAAAGTTGCTAGTGATGGATGACCAGAGCTCCTGGAAGGCTGAAGCAGAGCTACTAAATCACAAAGCTGGGGACAGATATCAGCTACCAGACCACTGGGGTGGATGAAGTGGTGGAGCCAGGACATCAAATCTTCAAGCTGTCCATCCTCCACGACCTCAGAAACCTGGAGTCCCAAGCAGCAGCAGAAATGCTGCCATTGCACCAATCAAACTACGTTTCCCCCTAACATTACTTGACTTTCCTCTTTAGAAGGCTCTGTGCAACCCAACGGTGACACATCCCAGCATCTTGGCTGTCTACGTGTGCCAATTACGATAAACTGCTTGTGTATTAGCCCTGCACGTACATGTTAGAATTTACTGGAGATGAGGCATGATGTACCGCTTCTGTGTCAAGCTTGAGGACTGGAAAAAGGGGTTTTCTGTACAATCACGTAATGGCCGCTCCAAGTCAAAGTGAGAGAGCTCCTCATTCACTCACGGGCATCACCACATTTATAAGAAAAATAAATGCTCAGGTAAAAATAATCTGCTTTCTAGAACACAGTGTTCAAAGCCAGCCCAGCTAAAGAGCTGGGGTGCTTCCTTTGAACTATTCATATCCTGAATATACTTGGGAGTTTGTGTTTAAGCCACCCCGAGTCATGCTATTTATTGTAGGTCCCCCAGAAGAGAGCTTTGCACATGTATTAGGATTACATATTGCAATTTTGCATGACTACTTTGCTCATTAAACATGTGCCTAGCTATGGTTTGTGTGTCAAATTTCCAACAAAAGTAAGTATTCATAGCTGTAATAAGCAATTAGCAGCAGCACTCTGGTCAGTCAAGAGACTGTTTCATGCTCCTTTGTTCTCAATTTTGATCTCAATATAACCTCAAACCAAATATCTTTCCATCATTAACATAATCAAATCAAAATGGGTTCTCATAATCTCAAGAAATGAAAAGTTTTTTTGGAATCTAAAATTGGGTGATGTTCAATGTTGTTAATGAGGGCGATACATGAGGCAGAATCGAATCAAACTATGGTCTGCTGTAGTTATGCTGGCTTTCTAGGGCTGATAGCAGTTAAAGGTTGCCTTTCCTCAGTAATCTAAACATAGCTGACAAGACAATAGCCACAGCGTGACTTTTCTGACCACAGCCCCATTTTAAAACCAAACTCAACAAGAGTGTGTTTGCCAAGACAAAAAACAACATCCCAAAGCTTAGACTGCTTAGTTCTAGGTGAGAATGCCCTTTAAATTTTTTATGGTGATAGTGAAAACATTTGCGATCCAACTGTTTCTTATTTTGTCTCTGTCCTGACATGCAAGGGTTTCTACATAGCTAAATCAAAAGAAGGATTCAAACAAACAAACTGTTTACAGGCTGCAAACACTGCAGCTCCTCCACGTTATTGGAGAAATCAGAAATATGTTTTCCTCATAAAGCGTCAAAATAGCTGCATGAACATTTGGGAGATGTTACATCTCTGGACTCCTACTGGAGGAGACAAGGGTACCAGCCAGGAGTCAATCACCCAGCAGGAGTGTTCTGAAAGACAGTTAACTAGACCTCATGCCTAACCAGGCTGGCCTACATCCTCAAAAGTATTTAGGCAACTATCTTCCATAGATTTCAGTTGATATGGGCTGCAGTCACTTTACTTGGCAGGAAGACTCCAGCCAAGCCTTGTAACCATGCTTTCCTTTTGCCTTTCCACAACCCATGAGGGAAAAGATGGTTTGGGGAAAGGCATGTGAAAGGGAGAATGATAGGTTTTCTGCTTTTGAGAGAGAGGATGAAATGCAGGGGTAAAGAGGAGGGTTAAGAAACCCTTAGCAAAGAGCATTCTCAGATACTTACTCTTGCAGAGATCTGTCTAAATCCTCTGTGTTTGCTGTCCCTAAATCAGAGTCACACGACAGGGGTTCCTCACACCTATCAGGACTTCTAGTGCAGCTGGCCTGCAGGAGGCCATCAGAGCCAAGGCTGGAGGACAGCTGGGATGAACCCATAGTGTTAAGGCTTAGCGTGGAGCACATACGTTTACTTTTGTCCTCATTTTTGCTGAGGGCCAATGTGCTGGGTTGAACTTCAATATCATCAGATCCCGAAGAACGTGAGACCAAACCCAGGGACTCCTTTCTCTGGGATTCAGAACTGGAGGATGTTAGATGCTCCAGAAGCTCCGAAACAGGACAAAGACCAGACAGGGACAAGGGAGTTACAGTCCATTCATTTAAAACTGCTGATTTATAGGACAATTCGAAGGTCAGGGAAGTTAACCCCTGCAAGAAGCTAAGCAGAAATTCACATTCCTCTGCATCCAGAAGCAGGGCTGATGTCTGATAATACTCAGGCAGCCTGGACTTCTCTTGAAGCAGTAACTTCAAATAACACTCCATGAGGCCATCGTTCAAGGCAAGCCTTAACCAGGCACGGCAGCGCCCCCACGTCCGTGCTGATAAAACTTAACTGTTCCAGCTCTAAAATGATGTTTCTAGGGGGGGAAAGAACAAAACATGTTAACAACTGCACTGTGAGAGCAGTTGGGGGGGCAGGGTGGGGCAGATGCATTTCCCAAAGCACAGAGGGTCAGGAGATGCAGCACAGCAGGGAGGAGGGAGGCAGCCCCAGGATGGGGCAGAAGCTGAGATAGGCATGCACGGAAGAGAACCTTAACTCTTGCATTTCCCAGTATTCCGTCATTTGACCTGCACAGTGAGACATCGCATTCCTAGCCATTGACTGCATCTCATGTCTCTTTCTAAAATGATAAAAAATAGGGCTTGTTGGAAGTTTGCAGTCAAAACTGTTTTTCTATGGAAAACAGGGGCTGCAATGATTTCTGGTTTTGCACAAAAAGCATCTGTTTTCTGTGGGAAAAACTGATTTGCATCAAAAGCCCAAACTCTTGAAAACCAAAATATTTTGATTTGGAAATGCTGTCACAGTACCTCTATGGCAGTGGTTCTCAACCAGGGGTCCGGGTAGGGCCGCCATCAGGATTTATGGGGCCCTATGCAGTATTATTAAACTGGTGCCCCCATGCCTGATGGCAGCCCGGGTTCGCATGTGTATTTTAGATAAAGGTGGTCTTTTGAAGGATTTATTTAAAAAACTATATGTCTGAAAATCCAAGCATTTAAGGCTAAAGTTGAATACTCAGACTGTGCATCGAGAAATCTGTGCAAGGATTTTTTAGAGATGTGATTTTATAATCTTCAGCAACACATTAATGACATATTTTTAAAGCAAATTTTAAACTCAGGTCCTGTAGACTAACATGTTCTGAGTAAATATTACAGTATTTCACAACTGTTTTTGTTAGGAAATTCAGAAACTGCAGTACTTGTGGCACCTTAGAGACTAACCAATTTATTTGAGTATGAGCTTTCGTGAGCTACAGCTCACTTCATCGGATGCATACCGTAGAAACTGCAGCAGACTTTATATACACACAGAGAATATGAAACAATACCTCCTCCCACCCCACTGTCCTGCTGGTAATAGCTTATCTAAAGTGATCATCAAGTTGGGCCATTTCCAGCACAAATCCAGGTTTTCTCACCCTCCGCCCCCCCACACAAATTCACTCTCCTGCTGGTGATAGCCCATCCGGAGAAAACTCTGAAACTTTAGATAAGCTATTACCAGCAGGACAGTGGGGTGGGAGGAGGTATTGTTTCATATTCTCTGTGTGTATATAAAGTCTGCTGCAGTTTCCACGGTATGCATCCGATGAAGTGAGCTGTAGCTCATGAAAGCTTATGCTCAAATAAATTGGTTAGTCTCTAAGGTGCCACAAGTACTCCTTTTCTTTTTGCGAATACAGACTAACACGGCTGTTACTCTGAAACCTGTCAGAAACATCAGTATATACCTAGGGGTTGGCAAATGCCAGTTAAATGGCTTCATTACCACTTGAATGGCTCTTTAACAGTTTCAGTGTTATGCTAATCGGTCTGGCAAGCTTGAAGGCTTTTTCACTTTTAAGTACTAGATCCCCTCCTGCCGAAGATTCACCAGGCTGCAGAACAGGGATAGGAAGAGGCGGACGGGTGGACACTAAGACCCAGGGGTGCCCCAAATTTTCGGCTGCCCTATGCAGCCGCATATGCTGCATATGCCTAAGGACGGCCCTGGATACAGGGCCCCCTGGGGGGCTGCGAGCAGATTTCAGGGGGTCCGCCAAGCACAGCTGGCATTAGACTCCTTACGGCCCAGGCAGATAGCCAAAATCCTGCTGCGCAGGACTGCAGCCCGGGGCCCCAAGTCCTACCACCCGGGGTTGAAGACAAAGCCTGATCAACTTAGCTTCGAGGGGCCCCCTAACGTGTGGGGTCCCGGGCAATTGCCATCCTTGCTACCCCCTAACACCAGCCCTGGCTTTTATATGCAGAAAAACAGCTGTTGTGGGATAGCTGGGCCGTGGAGTTTTTATAGCGGGTTGGGGGGGGAGGAGGGAGAGCCCTCATAAAGAAAAAGATTGAGAACCCCTGCTCTATGGGATGGGTTCCCTGGCTGGACTACATCTCCCATAAGGCACTGCCACTCCTCTGCAAGAATGGGGGAGGAGCTCCCATCCTTGCTGCTCTTTTGTCTGGAGAGCATTTTCTGTTGTCCCGACTGGATATTCACAATGGCAGCAGGCAAACTTAATTCTCTGACAGGAATTAAAAAGTAAAATTTGCAGAATACTGTGAAATGCAGCAAAGCTTGCTGAGATACAAAACTAGCTGGCTCCACGACTGGTTCTTTTCCAAAGGTGAAGGCATTTCTCGGACTAGGTACAAGGAGGGAAGTGGTGTTTCAGTGACAAGCTCCTTCATGCACATTGTTCCAGCAGCAGCTCCTATGCATGCCCAGCACCTTCTCTGGGCAGGGAAAGATACAGGGAAGCTGCAAAGTGGCAGAGCTGCTTTCCTCCCCTCACTGGTTAATCAAAACCAACAGATTTCAGATATGTCCCCCCAGAATCTAACGTTGACACTAGTCCTTGGTCCCAGCTCTCATTTCAGTTGGTGACACTGAAGCCATATTAAAAGTCATGGCAAAAGAGTTTGGGTCTTTTTGTTCATTTTTAAAAACAAAGGCAGAAATGCTCAAAGGCATAAAAATGTCTCCCAGAGTGTGTGAAAAGTGGATGTCTTTGACTCTTTCATAACTCACAAACAGCTAAGGGAATCTGGATGAAACCTTCCAAAAACATACGCTTTTGGGCTAAGACACAGTATTGAAAGATTCTGTCCAGAAGGTAAATGTTTCAGAAAAACTCATTAGCATACGAAAATAGCAAATAAGAACAGCTAGCTCTTATCTAGTGCTTTTCATCAGGAGATCTCAAAGCACTTATGGAGGAAAATCAGTACCATTATACCCATTTTACAGATGGGAAAACTGAGGCACAGAAAGGGGGATGCGCCCTGACCAAGGTTACCAAGCAGGGAATGGAATCCAGGCCTCCTGAGTCCCTTCCCAGGCCACAACAATTTTACAACCTTAACTACAGGGTTCACTACATTGCAATAAACTCCCTAGAAATACAGTGGCCAACTTTCTCAGTAGACTGTCTTATATGCTTCCCACATGTGCTCGGAAACTGCAAGTAGCACACCCTGGCGCTTTCCCTATTTAGCGGTGCTTCTTGAATAGAGCAACAGAGGACAGTGAATCCTCATTTGGGTGCAATTTGAGATACTGATTTTGATCTATAAAGTCCCAGTAAACATGCTGGCTTCTAGTTATCTGCTGGCCCATCTACTCTACGACAACAATGGGGTCAAGGAGCCTGCTTACCATAGGATGTCCCTTGACCTGGTTACAACACAGTTCCAACTTGCAGTACTGTAGATGAAACCTTAACCAGGGCTAGCCTGAGGGAAAATGCCGCCCTAGGCGAACTTGTATCTCGGTGCCCGGCCCACGTGGGTGTGGTGCCCCCCCATTGCTCCTGGCCTCTGCACCTCCCTCCTGTGCCCATGTGGGGAAACTGACCTGGACGCACAGAGCAGCTGGCATTGCTGCTCACTCCCCACCCCCAAACGCTGCTCCTCCCTACCCCCTAAGGGGCTGTGAGGGGGGGGAGCAAGAAGTGGTGTCAGGGGTCACTGCATCCAGGTCACTGGCAGAGGAACTTGGTCGGGGGGTGGCGGCGACCTCCTGCCAAGCGCTCCGTGCATCCAGGTCACTTTCCCCACCTGGACTACGTAAGGGGAGGACAGGAGAGCAGAGCCCAGCTGGGGAAAGTGACCTGGATGCACGGAGCGCTTGGCAGGAGGTCGCCGCCACCCCCCGACCAAGTTCCTCTGCCAGTAGGAAGCAGGGAGAGATCTGGACCACCCCCTCTTCCCCCACGCAGTGCTCCCCTGCCAGCCAGGAGCAGTTTCTGACTCTCCACTAGCAGCATGCTCCTCTGTGCTGACTTGGGCTCAGATTTCAGGGCTATTAAATTAGAGTGCAGATGTTTGGGCTCAGGCTGGAGCCAGGACTTTGAGACCCCACGTGGGTGAGTTTCTCAGAGCCAGGGCTCCTGCCCGAATGTCCACACTGCAATTTTTAGCTCTGCAGCCCGAGTCAACTGACCTGGGCTTTGAGTCTTACGTTTTTTTATCGCAGTGTAGAGGTACCCTTAGGGACCACTTGCTTCCCTATGACCCATCCCAACAACTGGGATGCGCTAAGTGATTAAGATCTGTGAGCTGAGGAAAGGGTATGGTCACAAGGGGTCCCTTTACTCTGGCATTTGCTTCCCTCATTGGTCCCACACAGCCCAAATCTGCTGATCTTCCAGACCCCTTCCATGGTCTGTGTTCCCTCAAGCTCCTGGCAGAAGGGGCGAAGTATTCTGAGAGAAGGTGGGATGAGGAGGAGTTAGTTCTTCTGAGTTGGCCATGTTTCTATTGACTGCTCCATGAACTGTGTGGCTTTTTAACCTATGTAAATGTACCAAGGAATGCAACAGGCTGTAAGTGACTGTAAGATGGAAGCTCCTCACCTGTGCGTGATGGTTTTCAGCAAGCCCCAGAAGACAGGCTGGGGAAGAGGTGCACGGCCACATGGTTTTTTCACTTTTCCTCCAGCGTCTGTTTTTATGTACTTCGCCTTCAGTCCATGCACAAACACAGCCTCTAGTGCACAGCACAGGGCATTAGCATCGTCAGTGTCACTGGTTACAACGGCATCAGAGGTCACATACTGTTTCTGCAGTCCCTTGATGGAACTCACCAACTGCTTCTTGATCAACTAAAGGACAAAGCATGCGGATTTGTGTTATAAGAACAGCTCACTTTGAAAAGGATCCAACTAAATCATCCCAGCCAGGGCTTTGTCAAGCCGGGCCTTAAAAACCTCTAAGGAAGGAGATTCCACCACCTCCCTAGATAACCCATTCCAGTGCTTCACCACCCTCCTAGTGAAATAGTGTTTCCTAATATCCAACCTAAACCTCCCCCACTGCAACTTGAGACCATTACTCCTTGTCCTGTCCTCTTCTACCACTGAGAACAGCCAAGCTCCATCCTGTTTGGAACCCCCCTTCAGGTAGCTGAAGGCTGCTGTCAAATCCCCCCTCACTCTTCTCTTCTGCAGACTAAATAAGCCCAGTTCCCTCAGCCTCGCCTCATAAGTCATGTGCCCCAGCCCCCTAATCATTTTTGTCACCCTCCGCTGGTCTCTTTCCAATTTGTCCACATCCTTCCTTTCTGTAGTGGGGGGCCCAAAACTGGAACAATACTCCAGATCCACCATGGCCTCTGCCATAAACATACAGCTAAGGGTAGCATAAAATCCCTCCTTTACCTGTAAAGAGTTAAGAAGCTCAGATAACCTGGGGGCACTTGACCAAAAGGACCAATAAGGGGAGAAGATACTTTCAAATATGTGGGGGGAAGGGTTTTGCTTTGGCTCTTTGTGTGTGTTCTCTCAGGAGACAAAGAGAGAGACCAAGCAAGTAATCTAGCTCCTACTGAATGATACATCTAAATTTACAGAAATAGTAAGTAATAGCAAGGAAATGCGTTAGAGTATCTTTTGTTTTAGCTTATGAGTTTTCCCTGTGCTAAAAGGGAGGTTTATCCCTGTTTTTTGTAACTTTAAAGTTTTGCCTAGAGGGGAATCCTCTGTGTTTTGAATCTGATTACCCTGTAAAGTTACCTTCCATCCTGATTTTACAGAGGTGCTTCTTTTATTTTGTTTTTATAATAAAACTCTGTTGTTAAGAACCTGATTGGCTTTTAGGGTCCTAAAAAAACCAGGGGTCTGGTTTGCGCTCACCTTGTTTACCTATCTGGTTGGTAGATTATTCTCAAGTCTCCCCAGGAAAGGGGGTGAAGGGCTTGGGGGGATATTTTAGGGAAACAGGAACTCCAAGTGGTCCTTCTCCTGAAACTTTGTCTAACTCACTTGGTGGTGACAGCAGTACCCATCCAAGGACAAGGAAGGATTTGTGCCTCGGGGAAGATTTTAACATAAGCTGGTAAAAATAAGCTTAGGGGGTCTTTCATGCGGGTCCCTACATCTGTACCCTAGAGTTCAGAGTGGGAACCCTTGACAGCCTCATCAGTGCCAAATAGAGGGGAATAATTATTTCCCTCGATCTGCTGGCAATGCTCCTACTAATGCAGCCCAATATGCCGTTAGCCTTCTTGGCAACAAGGACACACTGTTGACTCATATCCAGCTTCTCATCCACTGTAATCCCCAGGTCCTTTTCTGCAGAACTGCTGCCTAGCCGCTCGGTCCCCAGCCTGTAGCGGTGCATGGGATTCTTTTGTCCTAAGTGCAGGACTCTGCACTTGTCCTTGTTGAACCTCATCAGATTTCTTTTGGCCCAATTCTCCAATTTGTCTAGGTCCCTCTGTCCATGATTACAGACAGATTTCAGACCAAATTTCAGGTGGAAGGTTTATTTTAGGAAAATACATGGGGTTCAAATAAGGCTTAAAATGGCTCCAACTGTTTAGAGCGGGCTGCCTGAGATTTGGTGATAGTTGGGAGAAGCAGTTCCTAATTTTCTTTATTTGTTCATCTGGTTTGTGGTGTTTTGCTCCTCAAGGTCTTTAGCCAGGATCTTCAGCAGTGATTAGTGATTCGGGTGCCTGATTTCTAAAAAGGGCAGAATATCCAGCCTCTGCAAATCTGACCCCTTCCTGGGGTCTCAAGTAGTGCACCTGAAAATTGAGGCATCCTAAAATCACTAGTCATTTTTGAAAGTCTTGACCTTAGTCTTTATGTTCGGGTGAATTATTTTTCCAAGACTTCCACAGCCCATTTTACTCCACTTACAGGGCCAAGATCCCAGATGTATTTATTTGGCGGTCAAAGTTTACTACAAGAATTCAGCCTAGCTAAAGACAGCGTTTCCTGAGGCATTTAGTGTGGGGTGATTTGGGGGACAATGGCCAGGCAGGTGGGGAGCTGAGACCTCTGCTTATTGTACTTGCTTCTTGTACTGTTACCTTGTCCAACCTCTTGCCCCACATGCCCCTCCCCGCATTTGCCTATCTCATCCTTCTGTCACATCTTGTAAGTACCTATCTCGTGAGCTCTTTGGGGTATGGACTGTCATTTCACTGCCTGCACAACCCCCAGAACAAGGAACCCTAGTCCTTGATTGGCACCTTGGGCGTTACTGTCATAAAATAATACATATTTTATACACACATTCTATATGTCTAATTCTGTTCTAGGACTAAATTAAGCACAAAACTGTAATCCTTAAGTTTGTAGCTAATTTACTGAAATGTTCTTTCTAAATATGTACAGATTCCAAAAGGTTGTGTAAAGAAAAATACACCAGCTACTAACATTTCTGTAATAAAGTTCCTTGGGACCAATCTTAATACTTTACATCACATCTTCTCCGCACTGTATAGAGCCTTTCAATCTGAGAGCCTGACTACATTAGAGCTTTTGGTTGTGATACAGCTCAAGTTAACCAATTGCCAATTCACTGGTGTTAACTGACATCCTTGGGCATGCTAGTTTAGATGCTCCATGACACAAATCTCTGTCATTGGGAACAATGTTTGTACACTGCTGAGAGGCTAGACTAGGGCAGCTATACATAGCAATGCCAGGATCCCCTCCTAGTGGAAACCGTTCATATCAGCAAAAAAAAAAAACAACAAACCAAAAATGTCGCTGGTACAGTTTATACTGATTTGCTGAGCAACATAAGCTTTTTGTCTGTGTCTAGAGCAGGGCTTTTGCCTGTACTGAAACGTCATTAAAAAAAAGACTCTCACCGCTAATCTGCATTGTTGTACTGGCAAAAGTTTCTAGCGTGGAGCTGGCCTAGCACTTACAGCCGTGTTACTAATCTCCAGTTACCTGTCAGTCAGTCAACGTGAGTTACATCATAATCAAAAACTCTCATCAGACGGGCCCTGAGAGAATCAGCTGGACTCACTCACCTGTATAACTACCTTGGGGTCAGGTCCATTTTCAGTTGTGTGACTGGAATGCATTTCAACTCCTGCTGCCACCTAACTCTGATCACATGACACCTGTAGGAAGACAAAGGGGGAAGATTTTAACTTATAAGTGAACACGCTGCTATGCAACACGGATTCAGCAGGATGTGCAGATCACATTCATAGTCTGTTTGAAAGTCTTCACAGCCAGATCACTGCTCCCAATCAGGTCAGGAATGACCTTGACATTGTCAGATTTACCAAATGCGCTCTGCACGCATTCACGCAATTTCAAACAGAATTCGGAACATGCTGACTGATGAGAGTCCCTATACTCTCCCCTGGGACGATGTAAATATTCCCCATGCACTTACCACCCAGGCACAAACCTGCAGTAGTAGATGGGCTGACGGTCGGGCTCAGGTTCTATCAGAACAGGGAAGCAGGCTGTAGAGCTAAGGACCTGCCATGTCTCAAAGGGGCAAATCTAGGAATTTACTTTACAGTCTCCTGCTCCTTTGTGTTCTTTTCTTGTAGTGCCTTGCACAACGAGAGCCACAGCCATGGACAAGGACTCTAGGCATTACCGCAACACAAATCATTAATAGCAATGTTAATAAAAGAGCCCCAACTAGTCTATTCTGCTCTGAGGGTGCAGGCAGAAGGAAGTAGGAGAAGTTTTATATTCTGTGTAAAAGGAGCCCCAAGTACAGAAAGATACCCTCAGGGAGGCATAGACTTCTGCTTTGAGATCATCGGCCCTGATGGACCCAAAGCCTGAACACACACTTGAATCCTGGTAAAAGCAGCTCCAGGGAAAAGGCGGCTCTCCAAGAGCATGGAGTAGTCTGGGTTCACATCGAAGAACACTTCACACCCAGGTCTGCTACTGAAATTTCAACTTGCTGCACCTGAGTGCCATGCAAACCAGGAGACTGGCGGCTCAACTTGTTGCAGAGTGCACAGGGCCTCGGGTATACACAGCAGCAAACACAAGCAATAGCTGGTGATCCTGCCAACATATAAAGATGACAATCTCAGCCACTGCGGAGGTGAGGACTTGGCAGTGCCAACGTGTAAGCACCCCTGTCCCCCTGCGGATGTACTCGCTTGTGCAGCCCACGCTGAAGACCACTGCCTCATTTCTACTTTCAGTGATCTGACGAGGTTACAGCTAGCGTGCGTCTGTCTATACACGCTGCAAATCACACTGCAGCCGCAGTGTAGATGGGTACGCTTTGAGTGAAACTGACCAAAGTTCAAACAGAGAGTACGCACATGCACCAGGACAACCTGCCACTACGGAGGCAGCCACTTCAGTTTGGATCTGCACAAGCCAACAGAAAACTCTGCACCAGGAAACTCTAGCCTGATTCCCAGCTGGTCAGAACTTCAGAAAAGAAAACTCGTGGTCTCCACTGAAGCCTTGTCACAAGGTTTCTTAAACTCTTTGCACTGCAATAAAAAATGCTGAGTGTGGTGACCACAAGTGGTGCTTTAACCTCTGCCCCATACGGTTAATTTGTTGGTTATTTCTGACCTGTGAGGAGAAGCACATGGAGACAAAGCCTAGAGGACAGTAACAATAGCAGAGGCCTGGAGATACCGGTCACTGTTATAGACACTGCGCTAGAGAAGATTCAATCAGGGTCTGAGCCCCGCAGTGCTAGGCCCTGCTCACTGACACTTTCCCTGTCCCAACATGTGAACATGCCACTGGGCCACCAGCTGCACAACGGTCTCCCCCCTTGCAGGGACTAATGCCACCAGCCACAAATTCAAAGTGAGAGAGGTGATGTAACCCTACCTTACAATCGTCAACCCCAAAATCCAGTGTATGGCCACTATGTGAGTGCAGACTGGAGGCAATCTGGAGTAATCCTAGGCTTTCATGGCACCCATAAACTCCTGGGTTAACCCAGAAGACCTATATCAACTGCATGGACCTTGAAGTCACCCATTACAATAAGCCTGGGCTATTTCCACACAAGCCAGATGGCACTTCTGCCAACACTGATGGAAATCAGAGATACAGTCAAGTGGCTTATACAGCACAATTATTTCCAGTTTAACCCCATCTCAAGGTTGCTACTTCCCATGACAGTATCATGATTCACACTGCTGTTTTTCTTAAGGTCTGGCTCCTGGAATCACACGAGAATCAACTTAAAAAACAAAACATTTCTCGTTCTTAAAGTAGCAGAGAAAAGTTGGAGACATGTACGCTAAAGGCACAAAAACAGAAGGCAAGTAAAAAGAACTCAAAATGTATTATTTTTGAATCTCATTGATTGGAAGGGCCAGACTCAGTTCTGAATGCTTGTGCTTGGCAATGCTTCTCCTGGACAAACTCAAGAGAATCAACTGTTGGAACAGAGCACCTCCTACATGCAAACAGCCCGACTAAGCCACTTACCAGACTTCCCTCGGGTCATGCTAAACCTGGTATCCATCTTGAAAAAGCTCTGCTAATACAGACCAAGCCAGCCAGGTCTCCATTACACAGGCAAATACAGGGCCTTGCCCATGATTAAACCACTGAGAGTGTATGGAAGTGAAGGCAGCTATAAAAATGAAAAAACCCACATCTATAAAATGGAAGTAAGAGGAAGTTAATATTAATGAAAGTATTTTTGAAGAACGATTAGCAGGGTCCGTCCCATGCAGGTCAGCGCCATCCAAGCAGAGAGGGAGAAAATTCACGTAGTCCCATTTGTGAGGCTTTAAAAAAGCTTAGAGCAACTCCACCGCAGTGTGAAACACCAGAGGCCAGATTCTGAACTGAGCCCAGTACTGAGCAGCTCCCATTGCTCTCAGTGGGAGCTGTTGGATGCTGAGCACTGGGAAAATCTGCTCACAAAGGCCTTTCAGGCTCCCAGAGCAGCCCCTGCCCCATTCCCCAGTATGGGACACTGATACCCACATCCTCAGAAGTATTCAGCCACCTAACGCCCATTGAAATCAATTGAGAGTTAGTTACCTACAGTAAATGTCTTTTATGGATCTGAGCCTCAGGGCTTAACTCTCCCCACCCCCCAACCGAGGAGCTTCTCCATCCCATTCAGTTGAGAGTTACCCGGGGCCTCCCACCTTCTTCTGTTTTAATAACTGTCATTTGAATGGACTTTTCGAAACACTCAGATTGGCAAAGGTCTGAAATTTCTGACAGACAGCAGCTCCGTCAGTCTCACGAGTGCCAGGCTAATGCTGTATGTCAGCTCTTGGTAAGAAACAGCAGGGCCCCCCTGCCCATTCAGAGGGCATCTGGTTACAAAACTGAGTCATTCTTCAAAAATACAAACCCTCCCCTCACCATCTTCCCACACGGCGATACACTGAATAAGGGACACATCTATGGAAATTCTGCCAGGTTCATTTGCTGTTCAAGGTAAGTAGTTCAGAGGGGCTCTACGTTCTCATAATGAATTCAGGGAAGTCCTATGATCTGTCTTACTCAGACAAGTGGACAAGATGATCACAGCGGTCCCTTTTGGCCTTATCATCTATGAATAATGATGGACTCTGTAGACAAATCGGATCACCTCAATACTCCAAACCAAACTAGGCTGCTGCTACAGCTTTGTCCTCCCGACACAAACAACGGGACATGTGCAAGATCAGCAATGCAGATGCACAGGTTCATTCTGTAGAACTCCTCAAACAAACACAGAGAAACCATTTAAAAAAACCTGTTGCCAACACAGGCAACAGCCCTTTGCAAGGTAGTGTGGAAAACAACTAAAACCATACAGAATTGATTCAGTTCATTCCCTAGAAATCCACAACTATGACTTTGGATCTGATTTAAAAGAATAAGATTCAAAAGGGGGGAGGGATAGCTCAGTGGTTTGAGCATTGGCCTGCTAAACCCAGAGTTGTGAGTTCAATCCTTGAGGGGGCCATATAGGGATCTGGGGCAAAAATTGGGGATTGGTCCTGCTTTGAGCAGGGGGTTGGACAAGATGACCTCCTGAGGTCCCTTCCAACCCTGAGATTCTATGAATGGACGAACTACAGGGGCACCCAAACTTAACAAATCTGTACAGGAAATTGGCACTTGGTTTCCTTGTTAACACACAAACACTGCTCAGGCAGAGCACAACAACTAGGAACACATAAGGAAAGTAGAATTAAGATCAGCCTGATGGAGTCATCTTACCTTAGGATGCGGAGATTGCTATTAAGGGAGACAAAGAAGCCACGTACACATTGATTAAGCAAGCCAAATGGGTTTCCAATTCTAAAGTATGGGCATATCTTACCACGTATATCCTTCAGAAATTAATTACTTGTTAAAAACAATAGTATCAAAAAAGAGGCCAGACTCTTCCCAGCAGATTTCCTTCCTGGAGACGGGCTCCTGGAAGCACTCACAAGGACTGGCTTCCCTGTTTTAAACCTCACTGATGACAAGTAGCTGCTCACACGGTTCAGATGGAAATAACAGACAACAACAGCGTTACCTAGTGACTCAAAGCCTGGAAACAGAGCCAGTCATTTTCCAAGCATGAGCACCTTGGAAGTTATCCTCCACCCAGAGAAAATTAAGGAGCTCGCACACCAGCCAGACCAAACAGCTCTTTCCAGATGTCAATGCAGCCCTCTTCTCCGCCCACAGTACGACAAGGAATAAGCAGTTGTCAGTACCATCACCAGGAAAAGCTTTTCCATCAAAACCAGAATGACATCCACCTCCAAATCCTACCTCCAGCACAGATTTCTGTACCCCCAAAAGGTCAGAGATTCATGAAGCCCACTAGGGGACTTGATATTGCCAACCTATTTCAGTGCTCAGGTACTGTACTACAAGGATGGGTGGTGGCATACAACGATCTGCTAAACAGCAGCACAGTGTTGGGAATCAACGTTCTGGGAGAGGGAGCACTGACTAATGGTTACAGCAGTAGTTACAGAGAGGACAGACAAGCATGTAGATACACGAGTGTGAATATCCTGGCCTATGCAGATGATCTGGTCCTGATTGCAGACAACCCCGAGAGTCTCCAACAAATGCTTGACATCACCAGCCAGGCTGCCAACTAGATGGGACTCCGCTTCAGTGCCAGGAAGTGTGCAACCTTGCATATCAATGG